ATCCAGTTCAAGAGTTAACTTTTTCTTTCATGGGAAAAGGGTTAATTCATCCGGCCAATTGCTGCCTAATATATTTTAACCCACAGGTTCTAAGGAGCTAATAAAACAAATATTTCTCTCAAAATAAGGTTATTTTTCTCCATGTGGTATTCTCCACATTTGAAAACTTATGGTAAGAGGCCTTATTCCTTTTTAAAAATATTAGGAAAAAAATATCATTTATATCTACCGATTAAAATAAATATTTTGAGATAATTTATAGGGATAGAAATATATAGCTCTAATCTACATTCTATCCACGGTTTTATACAATATTTTTAAAAATTTTATTTATTTTTTTATATACTTTTAAAATAAGTCATAGCAATGCATATATATAATGATTAATTTGTATATACTATGTGCTTTACTGGAAATTGTGAGGTTCGGGATCTTTCAAATTAAATTATAACGAGGGAGGTTTTTAATTTTGAAAAATCTTATTTTAGCATGTTTTAGCATATGTATAGTACTTATCCTATAAATTTCAGAAAGTTGACTCATATTTTTTTGTTGTATTTTTTAATTTATATGAAAAATCGGAGATATAAAATTAATATAAATAAAGAATAGATCAAATGTTCACTGTAAAATTAGCTGTATTGGCTAGATATTCTGCACCTGTTGAAATACTTCATGATTTAAAATTGGGATATTCTGAATCCTTATGTGAGGATTCTCTATATATCTTATTTCAGAAAAACATACGACACATATAAATATTATGTCATTTTAAATAGTATACATATTTTAATTTAAGAGATTTTAATTAGATATTAGTAAATTGAGGATATTATTAAAACTTAAAATGTTCATTTTAAATATATACATAAATATGACTATGCTACCGATTGCAAACTCTAATATAGGCTACCTATTTATCATATAATTAAAGCCTAACATAACTCTTATAGCTAATATAATTCATTCCCAACTCATTCTATATAAAAATGTCTAAATCACAATTCTGTTTAAAGTCCCTACTAATGAAGGTGGCTTACCAAAGGAGCAGAACTACATTTTTTGAGTAGGGTCAGTATGAACGCTACGCTGATTATTAGCTTTCTTTGATTTTTAAACGAATTTTTTAAATTATGATCTTAATTATAATTTGAATAAATGAAATGGTTATATTTTAAAAATTTAATTTGTTCAAATCATTTACCCTCTCTTGCATTCATTCTATTATTTAAACCGAAAAGAACACATCTTATTTTTAATCATAAATAAGATATAAAATACATATATATTTAAGGAAACATAAAACAAAGAAAGGAATTTGAAGTAAAATTAAATTCACATATTTACTTATGAGCTATGTATTTAATCATAATCAGTCTCAACATTAAAATCAATAACACCTCACAAAATGAAAACATCTCACGTTTTTAAATTCTTTTGAGGATATTTCCGACGAAAATTATATAGAAGTACCAGACCTCATTATATTTAATAAATTTCCTCTTTTAAAACTATTTATAAAAAAATACCTCTATCCCACTCAGTTCTCCTTCTAAGAGAGTATTTAATTTTAAGAAGTACAGGATGTTTTTAAGGAGAAAAAATATTTTCTGCTAAATGAATCTTTGAGAAACATTTTCTCCATGGATATTCCAATAGAAGAATACAGCCTTGCTTTGAATTGCATTTTATATATTAAGGATTGGGCCACATGTTAATATTAAATTTGTTCGTTTAACCCAATTTTCTGAAAATTTCCTTAATTTGCACACTTTTTGCATCATTATATCTGCCTTTTTAAAATTTTGCATAATTTCGAGTGCTTTTCCAAAATTTTGTGTGCTTTTCTAAGATTTTGAATATTTCATCTGGGTATATTTACGCCTTTTGCAGTGCTTTTGTTAGATTTAATAAATTTTTGTATATTATTGGCTTAATTTTTCCTCATTTTGCAAACTTTTCTGTGATTTCTCATATTACTTGCATTATTTTGCATACTATTTGCGTCATTTTATGTGACTTTAAATTTTGCGTCATTTTTTTTTACTTATTTTAGATTTTATTTATTATTTTGAGATTTAATATATATTATTTTAGATAGTTTAGAAAATTTGTATATTTTTTACCTCATTTTGCTTCATTTTGTGTGGTTCATAGCCGTGAAATCAATTATTCACAGAATAAAATATTTTTATAATAAAATATGTTAATTATAATATAATTTTAATTGATTAATTTTATACTATGAAAGTTTTTCAACAAAACCTGATATGCTTTGACTGGCCATACACTCTGTATTTAGTTGTTATAATATCTTATTTAGGAATATCATTATAAATATAAAAATTGCAAAATAGAATATGTTTATAAGGAGCTAATGCTAAAATTTCTTGATTTAAATATTCCAAAGCATTATACACTAATATTAACGTCTCACTTTATCATCACATCTATTTAATTTTTAAAATTAAAATGTTAATTATATACATGTTAAACATGTCTGATTATGGCTTGATTATCTACCTATGTATTAATAAATATTTATATATATATTATAAACAAGACTCAAGTTCTAAATCTTTGTTTAAATAATGTTAAAAGCATAAATGAACCTAGGGGCTATAAATCGACACATTATGCCAATTAGAATTATCTCTAATTAGATGGAGAAAATTAAAAAAACATACAAGAATTCAAATTTAATTCTTTTGTAAAAATAGTTATAAATAACTATCTGAACATTGCAACCTTTGAGATTATTTTGGGACTATATAAAAGCATCGGGGGAGGGGGGGGGGTGATAAAATAATTTTTTTTTAAAGATATTGCATAGGAGAGAATAGGTCTTGTCGAACCCTAAATGATAAATCATAATAATAGTAAAATTGAGGGAAAATTGTTTTAACACAAATAATTGTAAAATCTATTTTTTAGATTTATAAATAAAGATTTTAAAATCTCAATGAATAAATTTTAGGATGGTTTAATAGCTATTTTTCAATCTGATAATTCTTCAAAATCATAATACATGGGTTATGATTCTGAATGATATTTTTAAAGCAAATTGCTCGATCATGGATACCATTAGATAGTATCTAGAAATCCAGCTTTCACAGGAATCCCAGACTAATAAAATCTCCGCCCTCCCCCTATCAGAAATAATAAAGTATATATTTTACATAATATTTTTATATCTTTTACATGTTTGAATTCGAAATATTAATTTGTAAAAAACAATTTTTTTTATAAAATAGCATAAAAGTAGTAAGGCTATTTAAAAAAAAGGTAGACAATAATTTGCTACATAGTTCAGGCGATAGCACGCTACTTTGAAATAAGCTTGTTAGCATTGAAATTGACCTAAAATAGTCTCAGCATTGATTAAAAAAACTAAAATATTTTTGGCTATAAAAATAAATTAGTGATCTCTATTTTTAAATTTGAATGAACCCACCCGACTTCTAAGACTGGGGGGGGGGGGCTGCGCCATTTAAAATATCGGGTTTGATGTCTAAACTATAGAATACAAAGCCTTATGGCTGGGGTAAGGTGGGGGTGGCAAAAAAAAGAAATTTATAATTCAATTTTAGAATAATATGATTTAATATTCTTACAAATTTTAATAAATTAATAGTAAATAAACATTAATGCTGTTTATGTATTAATAATATACTTTTAATGGTTAAAAATAATATAAAGAATTTTAGGTAACTAGACAATATACAAGAAAAATAATACCCCCCAATTGGGAAATTAATATCATGGGTGGGGGTGAAGGTTTACCTAGTTTAAAAATAAGACATTCATAGATTTCTATAAGGTACTGAGGCTACATGCCCTCCTCTTGCTTATTGTTTTAACGTAAAAGAGGTAGGTCAAAGATATTTTTTTCCTTGCCGCATAATTTTCTTATTAAATAAACGAGACTTTTACATATGTTCTTATTGTATTAACTATTTTTTATGATTAATATGTAATTTTTATAATATAAATAAAATACTTTATGTTTCCTTCAAAATTCAATTCATATATACAATTTAACCCTATAGCCGTTATTAAATAATTAATAACATTACTTTTATTAACCCTTAAATAATTCTTAAGATAGATAAGCTCGGATTTGTCTTGGAGTCTAATGTACCAGCTATCTAATTATATTAATATTTAAAACATATATAGATATGGAAATTAGAAAGAACAAAACGATTCCAATCCGACGCGGTCTTCTATACAGATTATATATTTAATGTCTAACAAAATTTTGACTAAAAAAAAATGCGAAAAATAATTTTTTTCTCAAACATATAATATATTACCTAATAAAATATAATCGAAATTACCACAATAAATATTTTACAACTTTAAAAATTTTGAATTAATTTTTAAGTATTGAAGCTGCGACCTAGCTTGATTTAATTTTTATTTATAATACTGAATTCAATACAGCAGCTAGGATACCATTTTTTAAAATATAGATTTCGGCATGGGTGATGATATATTTCAAATAAGCTCATGGGTGCGACTTCTTATTTTTTTAAATCTAAAGATCATTATATATACAGCTATTTTGAATTTTTTAAAAATGGCTAGCAATCAATAATACTATAAATTTTTAATTCATAAAGGACATAGACGTAATCAGAATTTTTATAAGAGTGGGGGGAGCACTTTCGGTACATTATTACTACATATATTGTGCTTTCTGGGAAGAGGTGGGCAGGGTTTTGTCAAAGGAAATATATTTATTAGCGTAAATATGTATTGAAACAGACGAATCTCAGGAAGTACTCCAAAACCTAATCCTTAGCCACTCTTATATTAGATGATAAAGATTTACTAATATAGCCTATAAATTATAAAAAATTCAAGAAAATTCTTAGCTGAAAACAGGAGCTGGACTAGGCTTATCTGGTTAAATATGTCAAGACCTCTAGATACAAATATACTAGTATGTTAAATGAATAAATTATATAGAAAAAAATGTTTTCAACATTTATTACTTGATTGATGGTGGGTAAATTTTATAAAAAGAAGATAATATATTTTATATAACAGTTCACAGAATTTTTATAAATTTAAATTTATTTTGTAAATTTGTAAAATTTTATTTTATTTTTCTATAAAAATGATTTTTATTAAAACTTTATATCATTATTATGGAAAAAATATAAAGTTTTATTTATATTTTATATTTATGAATTAAAAAAATATATAAAATAAAATAAATTATGTAACCATTAAAAATGTCAATAATTTTAAACCAAAAAAGAGATCTAATCAAAATTGAATAGACTGTTGTGTAGCTAGAATTTTTCCAAGTGGAAGGGAGGTGATCTCAATTTTTCTGCCCTTACCGACCTACGCGGGTCCCGCTAGGATCTGATTAGTTATATTTCCCAGTTGTTATTTTTATTTGGCATTTTTAAAAAATGTAATATATTTTTATATCATCTCCTTAAAGTTGGCGATTTGAAGCACTAATTATAAAATATGCCAATATTTCGTGATTTCTAGGCTCTGCAAGTTAGTTACGTAGCCAAGATTTTTCAATAAGGGGGGGGTGGTAAATTTTTTAGAGGCCTCCTTCTCCCTCGAAACTATTTTTAACCGGGTCTTCGGCGGGATCCCTCCTATTGTATAATTAATTTTTCGGTTCTTAATATAATCTCTGTTAAAATTCGCGGAACAAACCGTAATTCTAAAATATGACAATGTTTTGTGCTTTATTAGTATCGTACTTTAAGAATAATAACTAGCATAAAGGAAAAAATTGATAACAAGATTTTGGCCAACCTTAAGATTATAAAGTGACTGAAAGCATTTATTCTGTAAATTTTATCAATGTTTAGAGCTTAATTGTATATTGTTTAATCCGTTTGGTAGACAGTATAAAGAAAAGGGAAAATTGCCAAAATAGATATCGTGCTATGGAAAATATAAAAACTATATATCTGGTTGCGCTATATTTAATGTATGACTAGTACTTCAATTCCTCAACCCAAACATGAGAACCATAAAACGAAATCTGGGTAGCTTGTTTAAAAAGGAAAATTGATAAAAATTAATTAAAAATTGTCAAAATTATCATCGTGCTAGAATCCAGAATATAGAAGTTCTAACTATATGGTTTGCGTTAATATTTAGCTTTAATTCTATCATTTTCGTCAGCCATTAAAAACATCTGAAAGCATTATTTAGGAAATTTATGTCAATAATTAGTGCGTATTTTATACTTCTTAAGTTCCACAACTTTGGTGGATAGTTTGAAGAAAAACATTTTTGAGAAAATATAAAAAATCGCAAAGATTGGCGACATGCTAGAAGGAAAATTATAGAAGCAATGAATAATTGTAATGCACTATTAGTACTCATTAGTTCATCGATCAGTTTTTAGACAATAAATAAAAACTAGTAATAGGCGAAATAGAAATTATGACAGTTCAATCTTAAATGAATTTTAAATTACTATGTAATCTTAGGATTCTGTTATCTTCATAGATGTTTATTTTTCTTTTCAGTTTGTTTAATAAATGTAATTTAAATCTCATTAAACAAGATAGAACGAAGATTTTAAAAGCACAAAGGCAACTAAAAAAATAAAATAAATAAAATATCTATAATATGTTTTATTATTATTCTCATTATAAAAAATCCTATAATCTTTCAAAATATGAGACTTGATATGATTGTAGCTTTGATATTTTCATATTTAATAGCGGTATAAAAAGGTATTCAAATAGATTTGCGGCATATATGTGCTTAACATTTGTTTGAAATAGGAATAAATAAATTAATTTTTTTAAAAAGGAATATGACATATACTAGACAAGTTTTTTGCAAGATAATTTAAAATTATAATAATCAAATATTGTAGATCAAAATTATTATTTCTAAATTAAAAGCACAAAAATAGTTGCTTTTTATATTTTAGGCATTTATATTATCACCCCTCCCCCCTACCATGGCCACACCTACTATAAGTGCTTTAACCATTATAGTAGCACCTATAATGAAATTATAGAAGCAAAATTGTGGCGAATCTTACGATTAAAAAGCAATTAAAATCACTTGTTATTAAAATTTTACCAATGTTTAATACATGATTGTGTATTATTATAATCCGGTTTGGAAGACAGTATAAAGAAATTAAGCTATTAGCAATATGAGAAAGTTTATAAAATCGCTATCAAAATTAAAGATAAATAGAACAATATTAAAAAATTATATAAACGAAATATAAAAAAATTTAATTATCATTAAAAGTCATAAAAAACGCTCTAGATCATGGAGTTGGAGGAGGGATGGGAGCAGGGATCCAAACCAAACCTAAACCAACCGTTAGGTATTAACCAATATTATTTATTGAACCTGAACCGTTAATTAATTTTCTATTTGAACCTGAACTGAACCCCTAAAATACCTATGAACCGGTTCAAGCTTCATGATTTTGTGCTTATAAAATTATGTGAAAATGATTATTAATATATTGATAAAATTTTAATTTTTATAAACATTAGCATATTGCCATTTTACAACATTTGTTAAATATTTATAAGCTTAGATCATGTCCTTCGACTTAATTTTTATACTATATTGCTAGTCTAGGATAGGTTTTTGAACTAGAACACCTTATTTTGATTTGTTTAAGTATTTGGTGGCATTGTTATTTTTTGTATTTTATTCTAGTTTTTTTGTTTTTGAATAATTTAAATTTAATCTTTTGTTTTTTTGGCTGTATAATAATAATAAGTCGACCTAGGAAACTGCCATAATGCTTAGAAATAAATCTAATCCAATATATAAATTACTTACATATTATAAATGACACATCAAAATATAATATTACTGATTGACAACTATAAAGGGGAACCACGGAGCAAATCTTGAGCATCAAATAAAATAAAACCACCCTCGTTAAATTTCAAAAAATATTACAACAAATAAAAGATATAAATCGAATGTAGGTTTGTATACAAAAGTGTTCAAACCCATTTTTAGAGGTTCAAACAGAACCTCTATTTCTATTTTTTATTAAACTGAACCTGACCTTGAACCTTTATTTTTACTCTAACCAAAACTTCCAAACCGATATTTCGGTTCGGATCCCTGGGTGGGGGTGGTGTTCTGACAACATTATAAATATTTTTAACAGGGTATATCAAGTGAAAGATTTTTTGACCAAATTGTTAATAAAACACTTAAGGGTCTTCAAAGCAGATCATTCTGGATTGTGAGGGAGGAGTGAAATAAAAAAGATATAAGTCTTAAATGAAAGCAAGCTAATATAATTTGATGATAAATATAATAAAACTAGCTAATAACCCATCAAAAATAACGTAGTTTATATATATGGTACTATATATACTTTATTAATATATTTTATGAAAATACTAAAATTAAGAGAAAAAGAGGTAAATTTGTGAACATCCATAAGATTTTCTTAATTTCTGATTCATCTATCATCGAATAAGGGAGAAAAGTATGATGCCCCCTCTTTCTTGATGGGTAAAATGAAAATATAAGAGTACCAGAGCTTCCGTTAGTCAGCATTGCTGAGCCCGTCAAAAATGACGGGGAATGAGAATTTTCTTTTTACTGTTATGATAGTTGTTACCTTTTATTTGAAAATAATATCCAATTTTTATTCTTTATAACCCCCTTCTCCCTTCAGGCCAGGTCCAATCCATTATAACTAAGTGTAAATGCTTGATACCCATATCAATATTATTTGTTAAAATATTATACTGATCATATATGCCTAATATTTAATATTAAAAAAAATTCCAAAACAAGGTCCAAGGCCATAATAAATTTGAAAAAATTTCCCCAATTCCAACCAAAGATCATAATAATTTTGGTTGTTGAGAACTGGAATAAAATATTAAAAATCATAATGAATTTTAAAATACATTCAGAAAATCAGAAAAAAAAATTTGTTTTAGGTCAATGTCTGATCCATAGTTGATAATAAAAAATTCCTAAGCGCCCAAGCTGATAATAATTTTGAAAAATTTTTCCCAACAGCCTAATATAATTAATAAAAATATTTCCAAGCCCAGACCGACCCATTATAATTTTAAAATTTTTTTATTGGCCAACTGATAATAATTTTCAAATTTTTTTCCCAAGCCTGGAGCTGCTAGATAAATCTCTAAAAACCATATCTATTTTTTATTCTTTTAAATCCTCAATCCTACTTCAGACCAAGGCCAACCCAATAAGACTAAGAGCTATTTTTTGAGTAAAAAGTAAAAATATATTTAAATTAGCTTTTACCTGAGACCCATATAAATATTCTGTGTTAAATATTATGCATGATATTTAATATTAAAAAAAAATACCCAAGCTAGGTTCATGCACATAATAATGTTGGGAAAATTTTCTCAAGCTCGCCAAAGACCATAATAATTTTGGTAGTTGAGAAGTGAAATAAAATATATAAAAGTCATAATTCATTTAAAAATACAATCATATGGGCCTTGATTTTTGATCAGCTGCAAAATAAAATTTTCAGGCCAAGCCCATATTTAAAATTAAAAAATTATCAAGCATTTCTATTTTAAATTTTACCCAATATGATTTCTATCACAAATTTAAATTTTATTCTAAATATAAAATTAAATTTAAGACATTCTTATCAAATTACAATAGAAATAAATGGCAAAATTTAAAGTTGTATGGGACTTATTTTTGATCAGGTCTGGCTATGTCTGCAAAAAAAAATTTCAGGCCAATATCTAGCTGTTAATGACAGATACCACCAAGTCAATGTATAAAGATTTTCTAAATACCAATACCCACCTAATTTGCTAAATACCGACCAAAATTTATTAAAATAAAGTTTAATAAGACCTTTATTATTTTACATATATTATACCAATCACGTTGTTGAGTTCGGCATCCTATATATAACCCCCAAAAGAACGGAACCACCAAATTAGATTAAGAAAAAAAAAGATCTTTGCTGGGATTCGAACCCAAAACCATCGGATTGACAAACGAGATTCTTACCTATGAGGCCACAGAGACGCTTTTCAAAATTAACGAATTTTTAAATATATATTATAAATAAATTTGGTAGTGCCTATCCAAATGAAAAATAAA